GCCGAGCAGGGAGCCCGATGCGGGACCCGATCCCGGGACTCCAGGATCATGACCTGAGCCGAAGGCAGTCGCCCAACCAACTGAGCCACCCAGGCGCCCAAGGCCCTCCTTATTCTGTCCCTACTCATACTGTCTGATCTTTCCCAGCACATCCCTTCTGCCATAGTGGGACCTGGCAGGCCATTTGTGGGCATGGTCATACCTGTCTCTGTGTATTCCCTGGGTTTCATGACTTCCCTCTTTTCCCTGCGATCACATCCTCACTGTTCAGTGCTCACATTGGATCTGGCTACCTCCATGGGACCTTCCTTGGCTATTCTGCTTCTGAATGATGACTCTTTTCTGTGCCTCTGTGCTCATTCAGTCAGACCCGACTGCATAGTATGGAATTCTATACTGTCACAGTTGTATCTGGTTATATTTGATACATGCTAGTGTTGTCTCCCCAACTTGCATAGAGGCCACATTTCCTTCTTCAACACCTCTCACAGTGCTAAGAATAGTAGACAGTTATGAAGTGCAGATTGGCTGGTTGGGTGTTTTCTCCTTCGTGTGCTAATACAAATTCAGAATTAGGACTCTTGGAACACCTTTCAGCAGCTCTTCTATGAAAGCCCCCTGTAAGACACGTATACCGAGTTATTTAGTCTCTAATTTTGGGATACTCTAACCTCCAGGGTTCCCATTTCATTTTTATTGTTAAAAATTTGATGTTTACATTGAACTGAAATCTATCCCACTTTAACTTTCACCTATTGGTTCTAATTCTAACTCTTGATAGTGGAGTCCTCTTTCCAGGCAGTAACGATGTCTGAAGATAGTGCTCATGAAAATAGTGATTTGTTTCTGCCAGTACTTTAAGCTATTTGTTGTATGACAGAGATTCAAGTACTTTTATCATTCTGGTCATTTTTCTCTCAGCGGTGTGGGTTTGACTACATATGTACCTCTTAAAGGTACTGAGTACAATATTCTAGGTGAGTTGGATGATCTTTACGCTCTGTAGGATATTATATTTTCATTAAAATGTACTTTGAGACTGCATTGGCTTTTTGAGAACTTGATGATTTGCATAAAGTCAACTAAAATTAGAGTCTTTTTTCACACATTTATCTTTTGTCTGTTTTTCTCATCGTGTACTTCCTTGTTTGGGGGTATTTGGATGTACAGAACTCTACATTTAAACTTGAGATCTCTTTATGTAAGCTTTACCTCATTATTTGGATCCCAACTCTTCCTCTGACATATTAACTCTGCAGCTCAACTTTGGTCAACCACAGATTTAATGAGCCTGCTATGTGTGTGTCCTAATCAAAGACACTGGTGAAAATATTGAACAGAGAAGAGACTCACAAAGCACACCATCAGAGATTTCCATTCAGGTTGACAGGGATTTTTCAATGTTGTCTCCAAGGTTATCACCATACACTGTCAAATACTTGTATGTCTTGATTTCAGAGACCATTTTCCGCCTTTCCAGTCTAGTCACTATCAGAAGAGAAAATGTGGTTAGGCTGGTGTGATTTGATCTTAGTAACCTTTCCTTGCCAGCAGCCCATTTGATATTGTCTTAGAATCTTGTGTGGAACATGACAAACTCACATGGTCCATATACTCTATGACATCTGTCTCTGTCCTGTATTAGAAAACTGAAGTCACATTTTCCTATTTCTGGTCTGCTGGTATTTCACCTGTTTTCCACAAATCCTTAGAGACTTGAACTCACCATCAGATTCTCCTGGTCTTTGAAATTTTTAGACCATCCTCCTCCTAAGAGGAGAGAACATTTTGGATGGAAAACATCTCTTGAGCAGTGTTGCCTTCCATTATCAGAGGTTTTTGCGTTCAGGCATTAGAATGAAGGAGAAAGGGAGAGGCCACTCAGACTAAGGATTGAGATGACAAAAATGTGTTGGGGAGTATTAGTTTTCCAAATGAAGTGTATATGGGGAAGGCCTTCTGATACACTGGTAGTACGTCAGACTCCAAATGAGATGCATGTGAAAAGGCAGGTGATATTAGGACCACAAGGTAAAATCATTACAAGATACTTTCTGTGTTTCAGTTTTTTCATTATAAAATGGGAATAATAATGGTACTTACCTCATAGGGTTGTTTTGATAGCTAAATAAAAGAACGTGTGTAAAGTGGACCAGTGCCTCATGATAAGTGCCAGTTATTATTGTTAATTGAATGTATGCAGAAATCTCTATGGACATAAACATTGCTGAATGTTAAAGTTTTGTTCAGTTGAATTCCAGTTTACAAAGCATTTTTTTAAAATAGTCTTATTTAGTAATTACAATAGTTCTATAAGGTATACTATTAGTGCCTCCAGTCTTATCTGTAAAATGAGGATGATGTCTACTCAGGACCACACAGTGAGAAGGCAGCAAGCCCTGGTTCCTGGTTGCTTAAAAATCACTTATCACATCTGGGCGTGAATTTCCTCATCTGAAATATTGAGGTTTGGCTGGTCTTTGGGTCCTTTTTTAGGTCTAGAATGCTTTAGCTAGCATAATCCTGACACCTGGAGCACATAACATATTTTTTTTAATATATCTTTGGGAGCTCCACAATTTAGAAGTGTGGTTAGTTGGGTTCTCTGGATAGCAGGCTCTGAGAGAAATTTCCTTGCAAGAAGTTAATTGGAAGGTGCTCTTAGGATCAGCCGCTCTGTGGGAGCGAAGGAGGCAGGACTGAGCAGAGGGAAGCACTAAGCTGGGGCAGGTGCAACAAAGAGCTTTGAGGCTGGGATGGGACTTGATACCCCCACATCACCCTTTCACTGGCTGTGGGCTGTCCCAGGGCAAAGCAGAGATTTGGGGTGAGTTGCTTCTTCTTGGCTGAGAGCGGGTCCTAGAGAGGGATGCAGTTGAAAGCTGTGGCCACCATCTCTCTGCATCTGGGGGGACTGGAGCTTTCAGTCTTGGAGGCAGGATTCTGGACCACACACCACAACGTCCACCACAGGGAGTAAATCTGACTTGCAAAGAGGAAGCATGGCTGTGGTCAATTAAAATTCAAAGAGCAGGACACATTGATGCATGAGGTAAACTTAAGATTTTGCTTTGGGGATTAACTGTTATCTTTTGCATTCTCCATAGTATTATGCAGTTGCTTGGTGCATTTCCTTCACCCAGTGGTCCTGCCTCTCCTTGTAGTCTGGTGAATGAGACCACTTTGATTAAATACTCCAGGCTGCCAACCATAAACAAGCATAGTTTCCGGTACTTTGTCTTGGATAACAGTGTCATCCTGGCAATGCTGGAGCAACCTCTTGGAAATGAACAGAGTAAGTTTCAGCACTTTGGGCCTTCTCCACTGCTAAATCAATGTGTTCATCAGTACTCACAGGCTGTTTCCAGGATCAGGGAAGGAAAAGACTGCAAATGCACACAATTTTGCATTTGTCAAAAGGTCTTCTATCTGTGTGATAGTAGTAACTGAAAAATTAGAGGGTCAGAAAATAGAATACACATATTAAATAGACTCTCTTAGAGGTTCTTTGTATGTATCTGAAATACATACAAAGAAATCTCAGAAAGGAGCTCTGTAGTTCTATAAAAAGTTTACTTTAGTGGGGTATTTTCTCTTCTGTACTATGTATAAAAATGATTATTACTGTTCTTGAACTTCGGATCCTGCCCTTCTCCTCCTCTGGCCCTCACTCCACATTGTTATATTTCTGTTATCCGTGCCACCCAAACAGGCAGGAAATTTGAGGAGTCATCTTGGTCTGCTCCTTCCTGTTTCTCCCTTCCATAACTGGTGTCCAAGTTTCTGCTTACCCAGTAACTCTTGCATCTTTTTTTCCTCTGCATCCCACCCAATACATCCAAATGTACGGCCTTATTATTTCTTACTGAAATTATTGTGGTTGCTTCCTACATGGTCTGATCCCCCCTCCTCTGGTTCCAAAATGTCTTATCCTTACCCCAGTCCTACCTGCTGCCACCATTATACTCTTCCTCAAGTATGGATCTGACCATGCCAGTGCCCTCCTGAAAACCCTTTAATGATTTTCCATTGACACAGCATACACTCGTTCCCTCCTCAACTTCCCTCCAATTATAAGCCATCTCAAGGTATATGATTACCACTGCAACCCAGGCTACTCAGAGTATACTTTTTTTCTGATGGCAGTTGGAATCAGCCAGTATGTAAAGGAAGCATGTTCTCAGAGAGACCCTTATTTCTGGGAAAGTGAAGGTTACAGAACCTATGGGCAGAGAGGATCCAGGGAATCACCCACTGTTCCTTCATTTACAGGTGAAGAAACGGAGGCTCAGAGAGGGTATGTGGTATGTGACTTAGTCAGGGTTACCCGAGAAGTACGTGGTATGACTGGGACTAGTGTCCAAATTTTCTGAGCCTCATACTGTCCTTTTCTGTTGTCCCTGCCCCATAGGATTTTCTCAGTAATTAAAGACTTGTTACCTTTACAAAGGTGAACAGGGTCTTACAGTCCCATGCAAATTCTGTTGAGACTATATGAGTAGAATCTCATGAATCCATAAAACAAAAATGAGACATTTCCCTATAGTTCACAGATGAATGAATACCATGACAGGTTTCCATTATCTAGTGGTAAGATACAGTGACTTTAATATAAAATAGATGTGGCCTTTAATCACTGCCCAGGTCCAGAAGTGCTAGTTCCAACTATTCCCTGCATGCACTTCTTTCTTCTCTGTCCCAGACCTAGGGCTTGTTTCACTTTCTTCCCTGGCTTGTGCATTTTATTCATGATTCCTCCATCCTTCTCCTCCCAGGCCACCTGCTAAAGAGTCTAAAATCTCCGTGTTCCCTTTGGGTTTCCTGGCCTGAGGGGCAAGTGTCAGCCCTCTTCCAGATTTTTTAGGACTTCCCTGCTCTCATTCCAAGTAATTTCACGGTACTGGAAGTATACTAAAAGTATAAACAGTTGGGATTTTATAGATATACAAGGACATTTTAATAGTTGATTATAATAGTCAATAGAAGAAGTGAGAAAGAAAAGTTTGAAAAAGTTTAGTTCCCACACCAGGACAAAGGAGGGAATAAGAAGGAAGATCTGGGTCGCTCAGGAACTCCATCTTGAGTTCCTCCCTGCCTCCCTGCCCCCCCAGTTCCCTGCCCCTGAACTTCCCCTGGGATGGAACAATGACTGCCTGTGGTGGATAGCAGTACACAAGGCGTGGGGGAATGCAATAGCAGCACTGCAGACACCCCGTCTGTCTGTCTGTACTAAGCATATTGGCTAGGACAGGGTTTGCCAAAAATGTGTACGTGTACCACTGGACGCAGGAGGTGGTGGTAGTCAGTATATTGGTGAACATTATTTTATGTATTGTTAAACATGTGTTTAAAAAATACATTATTAGCACACCAAAATTCACAGTTTTCCATTTAAAGATACACAGTTTCCTTGTAAAATAGATTTAAGTTTAAAAAAGAAAGTGGTTGATAAAAAGTAAGATAATAGTACTTACGGTATGTGGATATGGCAGAAACCGCAGAGGTGGCACATGGACAAGAACACTGTGGCTTTCAAACACTGTGCTGGGCTTGGATTATTAGAGGCTCTACAGTTAATAACAGGTGTATTTTAAATCATTGTTGTCTGAAATAAAAATTTTTTACACCAATATTTTATTCTAGATGATTTTTTCCCCTCTGTCACTGTGCTGGTCCGGGGAATGTCTGGAAGACTTGCTTGGGCACAACAACTTTGCCTTTTACCCAGAGGAGCAAAAGCAAATCAGAAGGTATCCATTAGAAATTATAGGGAAGTGACTAGGAGTGAGTGCGTGCATTCGAGTGTGCGTGTGTGTTATGATTTAAAGGTTAAATAACATCCCAACAAAATTCATTGATAAAAGGGGGAGACGAACCATGAGAGATGATGGACTCTGAAAAACAAACTGAGG